GGAAGTGGTGACGCGAGAGTATTGCCTATTAACCTCCACCGCAAGAGGAAACTTCCTCCCTTCCCCCTGCATGCTGCTTTCATTTTTTCTACCTAAGATGTAGACTACCAAAGTGTTCTTTCTTTTTTGAAGAAACCATAGATCTGAGTGGTGGTAGAGGGTTGACAGTAGAGAAGCTTAGGTATTCACTGGAACACCCAAACTAATTTGCAGTGGAATTAAAAATGCAGCCGAAGACCCCCTCTCCCCTGTTTTCCATCACTGTTTCTTTTGACTGAGCTTTTCCAGGTAACACTATTATTTATTCAGCGTGTATACCAACTAGTGGAAACAGAAATATACTAACACTCCTGCAATCCTTTTCAGTTTGAGGGGAAAATAAATCAATCTACTTGTGTACTTTTGAGCCTGTACAGCCAATACTAGCAGAGTTGTGATGGAAATTAGTCCTTCAGCAAGTCTAATATCACAGTATAAGTTAAATCCAAAGAGACTTCTGTGTGCTTGCTGAGCAGACCAACTTTAGGCGAGTGTGACCAGATGAGTCCCTGCCACCACCTTTTGACCTTTTCTTTTGATAACAAAGGCCCCTGGGGGTTACTGTTACCTGAATAGTATTTGTCACTTCTACGTGTGTTCATATAAGTACTCATTTCACAGGGAGGAAGAGTTAGGCTTAGAAAGAAAAAGGCAAGTCAACCTGGGAAAACTTTGCCATGGTCAGCAGTGGTAGATCATTGGGTAGGTTTGCTGGTGATGGGAGAATCTCTAGAAGGACACATTAGTGGTGACAGTTTGCAGCCAGCACTCTGGGGTAAAGATCTAATAAAAACACCATGAAAAATAATATAAACAGAGCCACTCCAAAGTAGAGTTGGAGCTGCCATTTCAGGGGAACTGCCTTGCAATCTTCTTCCTCAAACCTAAGGAATGTTAAAACTGGGCAAAACAACCTTTAGACTGGGCCTAAGGCAGCACTGTATTCCAAACAACTGTTCTGTCTACTGGACTGAAGTTTAAAGACACTCTTTAGAATTAGAATCACTATGTAACTTATCTGCATCAACAGAAATTCCTTTCTTCTATTCAAATTATTGTAGTTAGAGAGGTGGGGAAGCTTTGGGGTTTCAGGGTTGTCACCTTGGCTGCCCTACGGAAAATAGACCATAAGGGGATGAGAAAAGAGGCAGGTCCCATGGAGGAAAGTTCATTCCATGCAGATGGAGCCTAGTGAGCAAAGGACAAAACTCCTGAAGTCACCTTCCCCAAGAGCAGCCACTCAGTAAAGAATTGTTAGTTGGATTTGACTTCTCAGTGATAGGTAGCTTTATCGCTTTTTCAGTGACCCACGTGTCATATCCCACTCACCTCCTCAGAGAAGGCACTCAATAAAAACAAGTCGCATTGAATGCCAGTTAGTGACTCTCACAGGATCTTGTCCAGGACAGTGGGGAGTAATAGAGAATTGAGATTCTGCCTGACCAGACAGAGGCACCGACTCTGCAGGTATGGTAGAGATCTCGGTTTAGATGGCCACCTCTAACAATGTGTGAAAAAGGAACACAAGGGCAGAATTATGTGATTAGGCAATCTGGAGCTTTGCTTGTTCCCTGGGCTTGGCCCCAGGCTCATGGCGGCAGCAGATAAGCTGAGTGAGTTTGCTGAAGACAGGTTCCTCCATGTCTCCCTCATACTGGGAAACTCCCGGACTTACCGGTGCCTGTTACCTACTCTACGGTTTTGTCAAGACCTCAGGAGGTGAGAGGTAGGAGAACGGAAACATGACCCAGGTTGGGGTCCCGCCTGCCAGTTGCATGACCTTGGAGCTGTGTCTTCTCCACTCCCAGTCTCTGAAGTGGCGCTGTTGATAACTGTGAATCCTTAAATGAGACAGTGTCTATGGAAGGACCTTGTAAACCCTAAAGGCGGAGTAGATGCCAGGCATTATTCACACACCTTGTAAGAGCCAGATGATGATTTTAATAAGGGAAAGAAAGGATGACTGTGTAGTGGGCAAAACCTCTTACGAAATCACAGATCTTGTTTTTTACATTCCTGGATAAGAATACAAAAGCCCAGGGATATGAATCTTGCCTACTGGGAGAGGGAGAAGCTGGATTTAAATCCCAATCTGCCTGGCCCCAAGGCTACTTTCCGTTTTGTGTCACATGGCCTCCGGAATATGTGTTTGTTTATCCAGCCACTGGGCAGTCTGAGGACCAGGGGACTGGGATGTCTTCTGGATGTAGAGTGACCAACTTGTCTTGGTTTGCGTAGGACTATCCTTTTAGTTTGAGCACTAAAAGCCCCATCTCCTAGCCAAACTGGGACAGCTGGCTGCCCCACGGGGATGACTTCCTGTCCTCTTTATTGCCTTTCCTGACCAAGAGCTTCATAGACTCAGAGCCGGGGTGTTGCCAGGGGTGGAGCTGAGAAGAGGGGAACAAGAGAGACAGGTGTTTTTGTCCAGACCTGACTCTCACAAGGGGCCTCCATTTCCAAACTAGGTTATATATACAGCAGCAGCTGCGTAAACAAGGCCAGCCAATACAAGAGACAATAATCGTTAGAATCTACTTTTGGCATTTGTTTTTCTTTTTTTAATCATTCTCTGCACAGGAGGTGAAGGCTGGGCCTGTCTCCCCTTTGAGTGGAACTGTCCTGCAGCTGCTCTCTCCACCCTCGTGGCTGGCCTGACTTGGGCTTTAAAACCCGCATAAAGAGTTTTGCACTTTGGCCGGATGACCCCTAGATCTTCGAGTTAAGGAAAGGAGTCCACAGGCTTCTGAGTGCCATCCTTTTCTTGGGCTTCTGTATTTGCTTTTCCCCTCAGATCACCAGAGCAGGCTCTCTCAAACAGGCTGGGCGGGAGCTAATCTTCCCGGTGGGTGGGGGTGAGAAGGAGATGTCCTGAGAAGAGGTTTGAGGCTGTCGCCCACCCTAGATCACCAGCCCTCCATGCATTAATCCTGTGGCTAAAGTGTAAGGAAGCTTTTAATCTTTTTCCGGAAGAGGGCTCACCAACGGGAAAACACTGAGGCCAGTCCCTCCCAGAGACGGGCTGTTTCAGGAGGCCCCTGCCATCATATTGTTGATGTTGAACCAGAGTTTGGTTTGTGCTCAGGAGTCTGAGTGTGTAGCTGGGCTCCTGCAGAAGCCTCATGAAAGATGCATCTCACCAGGTGGTTCCAGGGGAGAGACTGGCTTAAATTACAGCTCGACGAATCCAAATATTGGCATATCTGCAAATCCAAATGTAGGGATTTCAAGAAAAATAATCTAAATTCTGAGAATCTTATTTTGCACTTCTTGTGCGAGAAGGGGAGGATGAGCTATTCAGAGAGGAGACAAGGCTGTCAGTACCGAGAGGCTTCGGCAGAGCCGGACCAGCCTCCTTTTCTTTCCTTGGGCATTTTCATGCCCACATGAGGGAGGAAGGCAGCGCTCGTTCAGCACAGCTCTCTGCGGGACAGATTAGGGGGACTGGCCACCCTGTATTTGGGGCATGGGGCTCAATAAATCTGGTGGTTCAATTTCTGTCTGTTCTACCCAAACCACTTCTAGGCCTGGGGCCGAGAGATTTGCTTGGAGCCCTCACCCACTGTAGTCAATTCACAACACAGCAGCCCCCAGCAATCCTGCAAGACTGCAAGACAAGGCAGATCGCTCCCCTGCTCAAACCCTCCATGGCTCCCTAACTCCCTTGGAGAAAGCCAGGATCCCTAAAATAGCCCTCAAGGCCTTGGACTGCCTCTCTCACTACCTCTCTGAAACCCCCTCACTCACACTTCCAGACTCACTGGCTCCTTGCCGTTCCTCCCCCATAGGGGGCGTGCTTCTCTCCCAGGCACTAACATTCGCTGTTACTTCCGCCGGGGACACTTCCCCGCCCCCCTCCTCCACAGGGGTGTCTTCATGGAGTGCTCCCAAGTCTTGACTCAGATGTTAGCTTCTTGGTAAGCCTCCCCTGACAACCCTATTTAAAATTTTAAGTGTCTTTTCCTATCATCTTTCCTGCTCTATTTTTCTGTCACTCAACTAATTTATCACCTTTTAGTATGCTATATAATTTATTAATTTAGTTTTGTTCCTCATCTCTCCCAATTAGACTATAAACTCTGTGAAGTCAGGGTACCCTTATTTTATTCATCGAGGTATCCTCAGCACCCAGAACGGTGC